ACTCTGTTCAAGATTATGTGGGAGTCCCAACTATCCATTGGACATCAGTGCCATGTAAGCTTTATTGTGAGAAATAGAAAGTCAGCACTATTTAATAAAACAATTGCAATTCCTTTCATTTTAACCTGGAGAGAAGGAAATTAACAATTAAGAAAGAAAGTCAAAGAATAGGAAAAATGAATGAAGGAGAGTTGCACTAGCTCACCTTCCTCAATCTCTCCAAGGAGACTTACCTCATCTGAAATTGTCAAAGAAACAAACATGTGTGTGTTGTACAAAGACATGCATTATGCTTATTTTTAATTTGTATTCTTATTTTTACGGTTGCCTGGAGAAACAGTTGCAAAGGAAGAGATCTGTCATGATGGACCAGTGGTTGCCTGCTCTGAGATTGATGAGTCTGCATTTCTCTTCCTCCTCCTGTGATGAAAATGATATTGCTCCTTATACAACCACATTGAACAGTTTGATTCTCTTTTTGTGCTCCACACAATGGGAAAAATGAGCTTCCTTGCACACAAATGATGATTTTTTAAAATGGTTTCTGGGTGGAAAAGAGGGAAAGACTTTGCTTTTTAAAAAATCTTCCAAAAATTGCTTCAATAAAATGAAGCCTGTTTCATGCTTTATCTATTTCCTTTTCATCTTTCATTATTCCTACATAACCTAACGGGCTACCAATCATTCTTATAGCAAAGCAGACCTGTGCAACCAAATACATCATTGATTCAAAGCTTGGCGCCACTTAACAAAGAACCTGATGCATCTCTTCATACAATATTAGTAAACTATCTTGAAATTCTTATACGAAAACTCTAGATTGGCATCCAAGGCCATACAGATTCTGTGGTTAATCTCCTGTTATATTAAGGCATGGCTTCTGCTCCACAATATAAGAAAAACTGATTTTATAGATGGCACCTACCACCAGCAAAACTAGCAAAAATGTTTAAAAATATGTCAGATAGATGTTGGAAATGTAAACATAACTCAAGCACATATTAACATGTTTGGTGGACATGTGATAAAGCAAAGAGCTATTGGAAAATGATACATACTTGGTTAGAAAAGATATTGGGAAAACATGTAGATTTTAAATCTGAACTTTTTTTTACTAGATATAATGCCAGAAAAGATTAACACACAAAGCCTATATTTGATTCTACATGTCACAATAGCTGCAAGAATAATGTTTGTGCAATATTGGAAAAGTGAAGGAATACCACCATAGGAAGAAATAATTAAAAAAATACTGGAGTGTGCAGAGATGGACAGATTGACTATGAGACTGAAAGAAAAAGAAGAAACAGAATATTATCAAACATGGGACTTATTTTATCAATGGCTAGAGGAAAAAATGAAGGATTAGGAATTAAATATGTATTAGCGTTTTTTAAACCCAGATAGCACGTTGGTTAAAAAATTATTATATGTATGTAAGAAAAAATCAATAAAATCTTTTAAAAAAACTGATTCTGAATTTAAAAATTGTTGGCCATCTTCTTCCTATCCATTCATCTGCCAAATAAGAGAGAATCCCAACAAGAGGGTGACGGCAGCAGATTAATGATACAGACCAAACTACTGTGATGTCTGGTGTGCCAAAATCCGGATCTGATTTTCTCACAAAGTCTAGATATGCTATTCTGTTAAATCTAGTCTATTCTGTGCATCCTTAGTTCCAAGATGTAGTCAACAAATTGTCCATCTGTGATACCTGCAGATGCAGAAAGCTGAGAAGATTGTAACATATTGTGTTCAGGTGAACATATGTACAAAACAGTAGGCAGCAGACAGCAGCAAAAGCTAGTGGGTAACTGTTAAGTCCTTGAAATGAAGATGAAGGAATAGGACACATCTCTGTAGAACAACTCTCTTTATTGTGCTTCAGCCAAAACTCCAACAACGAGCAGAGGCATGCAGGCCTCCTTTTATATGCCCAGATCCCCGGATAACATGGTTACATAATAAGGCACTTTTCATGCCTTGTGCCACTCAGTCTGGTCCCGGGCAGCTTTTGCAAAACCCGGGACCCTTGCAATGTCCCGAGCCTGCATTTGCAGGCTCAGGACACAACACCCCTCCCCCCCTAGCTTGGAACCCCCTGACATCCAAGCATGGAAGGGATTCCTTACTGTTGCCACCACTCACACTTCCTATCCTTGCTTTCTTATTACAAGACACTTAAATCATAATCAAAACAAAATACATTATTACAATATTCTTAAGGGTAGTACCACTTGTAATTGGACAGCAGTTTTACAAAGTCTGAAAGATATTGGGGGGGGCTTGGTCCTTTGCGACCTCCTCGGACTGGGAGAGTTCCCTGGGTCCAGTCATGACCCACTGTGTTAGATGAGCCAAGACATGGATGGCCACTTGTTTCAGGAGACCCTGGTATTGTTGCCTGACCTTGCAGCTCACCTGTCAGGCTTTGCTGACTCCAGCACCTGGTTGATCTGCCTCTCTGCTGATTGGCTGAGCCCTCTACACTCAACCCAACATCCCTTGGAGGGGTGGTAGTCTCCAGATCCACAATGGACCCTTCTTGGGAGCACTGTCCCTCGACCCCAAGGTCATTAGAGGGATAGTCAAGAGTGGCTACAGGCCCCTGGTATCCTGTGGACCCCAATGCAGTGCCTGTGGTGCCAGAGTCAGGAGTAGCCTCTCTGTTTGCCCCCCTTACAGAGAACAATTGCAGAATTGGACCTGCTCCCTTGCTGTGTTGCCAGTTCTTTCGCATTATGTGAGTTATGTGGATACCTCCGGTCAGTCTCCCTGTCTGGAGTGTTACTGGTTCTGGGTGTAATATATGGATGCCCCCAGGGTGACTCCCTGGCTGGAGTGCGAATGGGTGTGTGGAGTAATTCTCTGCCCCATGACTTCTTGTTCAGAAGGAATAGGACACATCTCTGTAGAACAACTCTCTTTATTGTGCTTCAGCCAAAACTCCAACAACGAGCAGAGGCATGCAGGCCTCCTTTTATATGCTCAGATCCCCAGACAACATGGTTACATAATAAGGCACTTTTCACGCCTTGCGCACGCGCGCAAAGCCGGCGCCACTCAGTCTGGTCCCGGGCAGCTTTTGCAAAGCCCGGGACCCTTGCAATGCCCCGAGCCTGCATTTGCAGGCTCAGGACACAACAGTAACTATCCTGGCTAACCTGGAGAATATTAAACAAGATTCAACCTGCAGAATCTCCCAGTCTGTAATAATTTCAACTAGAAAGAATGCACATTCCTTTTTGAGATCTCAATGGGATTTGAAGCACTGGATTCTGGTGAGAAATGAGCACCAAGCTATTCTGTAATCCAACATAAGGCGGATTCAGTTTTTAATTTCAGTAGATCTAGATACAGTATGTCTTCAGTCGCAATTTCCCGTAGCAAATGTAGCCTCATTGTGTTCCCAAAGACCTCCAAAACTGTGTCACAATAACTCAGGACCACTGGTAGCTCTTGCTGGGGATTTTGGAATCTATTTACCTGAACATAAGTTACAATGGTTAAAACAAATGGTAATAATTTAGGACCATGTAAAAGTTGGTATGGAAAAATTAAAATAATAAAAAAAAAGTTGGTGTGGAGAAGTGCAGAATACGCAAACATTCATAATAATGATTCCAATTCAGAAGTGGAGTCATGTGACTGAGACAAAGTAATGAGGGGCTCAAGGTCTTTTAAAAGAGAGTAGGGTGGGGGCTGTGTGGATCCCGGAGAATGAGGACAGATTCCTGCTTCCTGGAATCCAAAGCATGTTATTGTTTAATAGATCAATTCAGAAATATACAAATCCTGTTATATATAACTAGATAGTCAGACAGAATTGGAGATGAGTCATCCTGTGACCACACAGGGCTTTTGTAGATAAAAACCAGCACCTTGAATTCCCCAGAAATCAAGTAGCATTTAAGTGACATATCCCCATCCCTGCCTCTGCTGTCCACTTCTGGACTAGATCTGGCTTCTGAAGAGTCTTCCAGGGCAGCCTATGTAGAGTTTACTGCAGTGACCCATACCGTGAATAATTTACAGAATCTGCTTTCAGAATTCAGCAATTTCAGATCACGATGGAGAAAAAAATTATCTATATGGTCACTAAGAGCTGACAAAGACTTGATGGCACATAATCAATGTTATTCATAAGAAACAATGACAAATCTAACATGGTAATTTTTGCTCTACCAATTCACGTCCATATCTTTCACCACGACCACAAACCAAATTTGATTAAATTAAATTAACAGAATTCAAGATCATGTTTCAGAAAGTTTTTTAATGAAGCATCCTATTAAAATGTGCAAGTTGCTAAGAGGTATGAATTCATTGTGCCTTCATGTCAGATTCTCCCATATGAGCAGAAAATACAAAATTAGAGCTTCATCCCCATCTTTCTCACTCTCTCTCTTCATGTGCCCTCAAGGATGATAATTAAGGCAATAAAACCAAGGAAATAATATACAGTTCTCCAAGTAATTTTAGTATGTTACATTTCTCCACATACTTCATGAGATTAAAGAAATACACTGAAACTAGCGTTTTATTGAAACAAAGAAACAGAAACTGCAATTAAATGAAGGGGACAGGGATCTGAAAAGTCAAGAAAGCAGTAGTCACCACACAATAAAAGCCTTATTCCTTTTTCACATACATCACACATGAAAAAAAAACACACGAAAAAGGATGGGGCTTCAATCAAGCAATTACAACCACCACTTCTTCATTTTCGGAATCTCATTCCCTTGACCTAGGATCTCGGGGGGCTAAAAATGCCTTTCTTATCCATTTTTTATTGGATTTCTCTTCTTACAAAATTGAAATGACAGTTAATTTTTTTCTTCCTCTTTGTCTTCAGCACTCTGTTCTAGTTATTCTATTATTGCTTCAATTTTGGGAAATGCTATTGCTACATACTTTGTTATCAATCTCTCCTGAGTTTCCACTTTCACAAGCTGGGACTATAAAATCCAGTAGCCACACTGGAGAAGTCAGACATCCGCCTCCAAGGAGCTGCAGCAATGAAGGCACTAGTGTTCACCTTCCTCTTCCTCCTCATTGCAGCCAATGAAGCCAAAGTATTTAAAAAATGTGAACTGGCTTCATTACTGAAAAGAAATGCCATGGCTGACTATACCGGCTATCCCTTGGGCAACTGTGAGTTGAGTTTATTCTTTCTATCTCTCTATTTTAGCCTGATCCAGATTTTCAAGAGGGATGGGTCCTTGGGTCCTTCCTTGGTCGGGGGAAGAATGATTGAAGATAGTTAAATTTTCTGTGTAAGAAACTAGGACAGCTTTTCATTTACAACACAAGTCTTTTATACTCCTTTCCCTGTTTGCTTTCTTCCAGGGATCTGTATGGCTTATCATGAGAGTAGATACGACACCCAAGCTATCGGGCCACCAAACAGAGATGGCAGTCGCGACTATGGGATCTTCCAGATAAACAGCCACCATTGGTGTGACAATAACGAGGGCCCTACAGCTAATGGCTGCAACAAGACTTGCAATGGTAAGACACTAGTGTAGCGGATAAATTATCTCTGATGAAGGAATACAAGAATTGTTATGAGAATTATTAAAATAAAGTTGAAAATAATGACAACTCAGTCTAGGAAAGAAAGAAACCTCCAAAAGTGAAAATAACTCTTGATTCTGTTTGGTATAAGAGGTAGGAGGGAGAAGTCTTGACAAGCTTTCAAAATTCTGTTATTGTTGGTGTTATGAAGTAGTATTCCTGTAATCCTTATAGTGTTTCATTCCTGATATGACCTAATACCAAGGGCTGAAACCTATTATACTAGAAAAACAAGGAAATGTCCCAAATAAGTCAGATGAAACTTTTGAAGGCCCGTTTCAGTCCTTCTTCTCTTTTATTGCTCTTTGTACTTGTTCAGTTTCATCCGGTGCTTCATGAAGTTTGGCGCTGAATCACCCTGTCTCTCAAATTAATGTTGAGTTCTTGCTTGGTTTATCTATCATAGTATCTAGCCACCATATTTTCTGTGGGCCTCTTCTCCTTCCTCAATCTGCTTTTCCACTTTGTACTCCATTTCCCAAATTGTCACAAATCCTCTAACTTCCTTCACACAGATGTATCTCACTTTGTGCCTCCACACCACCCACCACACCGTTAGTCAAAGTCTTGCCATAGATAAAAGTTAAAGGCAGCAATTTCAGTACACAAACTAGCAAGGAACTTGACCCAGTGCTCTCTGCCCTTTTTCAGAGAAATCTGGTTCTGGGGCTCAGGTGAGACAATTCTTCTCTCACTCCTTTCCAAGAATGCAATAAGCCAGTCAGGAAGTCTGCATATTCAGCTCCAGGGGGAAAACAGATTCCTAGTGCTCTACACGTTTCAGACTTGTTACTCTACACCAGTGGTTCTTAACCTTTTTGAACGAATCGCCCCCTTGAGCCAATGAGGAAGTTGTCATCGCCCCCCTCCCCCAACATAACCTCTCAATCACAACATGGGAAATAATTCTTCAATTTATGTAAACACTATTTTTGTTTTCTTTAAAATTTTTCATCAGGACATATCGATGCAAATAATTTAGTTCCAGTCTTTTCCCCATATCTCCCATATTCTGGCTAATGGCGTGCCACTGTATGGGTAGAGGCTGCTGCACAACACACATGAAGATAAGCAATGTGTATTTAGTATGTACGGTGTTCTGTACTGAAGCTAGCTGGAGGAACATTTGAAAACACAATTCAATCCACTAATAGCGAGCGATCTGATGTTTTTATATGACAAATATACAGCCATTCACTGTATGAAAAAGTCTCAAAAGTGTCCCCAAAACTTCTCACTCCATCGCCCCCATATCGCCCCCTTTTTGTTCCCTCGCCCCCCTGAAAAATGAAATCGCCCCCTGGGGGGCAATATCGCCCAGGTTAAGAACCACTGCTCTACACAGTTAGAGGATGAGAAAAGGCATTTCATGGTCTACACCAGCTGTATAAAAAGTAGATTTCGTTGTTAAAGAAGTGAACGCATTACATAATAACCAATGAGGTCCTACGTCTAAAAGGCCACTTGGGTAAGAATCTGCTTTAAATAGTAATATTATGTAAGTCTTTGGAAATCTTTTTGGAACATCTGGGTTGGGACATACTTTAATTTGCCTTTCCCGACAGAATTCCTAAAGGATGACATCACAGATGATATTGCTTGTGCTAAGAGAATTGTCCAAGATCCCCAAGGGATGGATGCCTGGTGAGTCAATTTCTCATTAACATATTCCACTTGTAACACTGGGTAGCAATAGAACGGTCACGAAAGTTAATTATCTTTGTTTAAATTATTGCATGACTTTTAGCCTGGATGGTAAAATACAATTTCTGAATATGGCAAGTTGTATTTTTCTTGCTACACTTGCATTCTGATTGAATTAAAAAAAAAAGTCTTATTGTCTCTTAAACTCAGGTTTAAACATAGCCAGGCACACTACTTACTAGAGGGGTTTGTTGATGCCTATTTTATATGGATAATTTCTTCCTTTCCATTATACACTTTTGTGCTTCTCACTTGTTTTAAAATATTTTATCACAGGTTCAGCTTTGGGATTTTGTACTGAGTTGGGGCAAGTTGCAGAAGAATTTGGCAGACAGCCTTTTAAACACCAGGACACTGATCTAGGAACAAGGTCTATGGGATCAGAGACCTGGTAGATAAAGAACGCAGTGAGAGAAACAGGGAGAGATCCTTTGTGAAGCTGCCAGTCATAGGTTGAAAAGGACAAGGGGCCGCAGCAGCAGATCATGAGATGGAAAATTGATGTACTGGGCATCTAGAACCAAACAATAGTGGTATTATGTGGGCAAAAATTACAATAATTTTAAAAGTGAATTTGTTGTATGCCCTTCTGGGGTAGGATTTTGTGAACCCACTGGTGCTCACCAAAGACTTTAGACTTGTACTCCCTTTAGTTCGGTTAGCATAGACCCTACCTAGGATACATGGAATCCAAAGTATCCCTTGGGCATTACTGGCATATAGGCCTTATTGTAACAAATAGAAAGTTAGGACTATTTTAGCTAAAACACACAAAAATATTAGATTTTTTTCCTGGTGGAAAGGAATTCATTGACAAAGCAGTGAAGGAACTTTATCTGTCAGCATACAGGAAAGATGAAAGAAAGATAGTTGTCACTAGCTCACCTGGAAATTCTTGTCTCCTGCTTGAGCAGGGGGTTGGACTAGAAGACCTCCAAGGTCCCTTCCAATTCTGTTATTCTCATATTTGGTTATTCCTGAAGTAGATTTACATAATTAAACAAACAACTATGCATGTGGCTTGGAATGACATGCAATATTCTTATTCTTACTTTTAGGACTGCCTGGGTGAAACATTGCAAAGGAAAAAATCTGTCACAATGGACTAGTAACTGCCAGCTGTGAGACTGATGATGCTGCATTTCTCTTCCTCCTCCTGTGATGAGAATGATACTTCTTATATAAGCAACATTTCACAATTCAATTCGATGCCTGCATCCCACAAATTGGGAAGAACAAGTTTCTTTGCTTACAAATGATGATTTTAAAAATGTTTCTGGATAGGAAAGTTTTGAAAACTCTTTTAAACACTTCAAATATTGCTTGAAAATGTTCAATAAAATGAATTGTGCATTTTGCCATTTTCATTTATTTCATTTCACCCTTCATTACTCCCAAATAATTGAACTGGCTATTAATCTTTCCTATGGCAGGGGAGAACTATGCAACCAAATATGTCATTGGTTCAAAATCTGGCCTCACATAACAGAGATCCTGATGCATCCCTTTATACAATATTAGTAAACTATCTTGAAATTCTTACATGAAAATTCTAAATTGGCATTCAAGGGGAGACAATATCTAGGATGTACCTCCAGTTATATTAAGGTTTGGGTTTTGCTATACTGTATAACTTGTGTCTGAATTTAGAATTTGGTGGCCATCTTACTACGATCCATTGACCTGGCAAATGTCAGAGTATCCAAACAAGAAAGCAACATTAGCAGATTAAATAATACAGGCCAAATTATTGTGATTTATGGGGTTCCAAAGTCCTCATCTTACCTTCTTTCAAAGTATAGATATATTATAGTCTATTCAGTGCATCATTAGTTTCAGGATGTAGTTAACATCAGAGTAAGACTGATCTAAAGTCATCTAACAGGCTTGGTGCCTAAGGTGGGACTAGAACTCATAGTTTCCTGGTTTCTCCTCTGGTGCCTTAACCGTTATTCCAAACCAGTTGTTCCACTTACATTCTAATAAAATAGAAGGGCTACTTGATTTAGCGACAACCCCTACACATTCAGTCTCCTAAAACACTCCACCACCACCCCACCTTCTGGGGAAATGTAATTTGTTTCCCTTTTTTGTATATAATTTTTATTAAAAGTATTAAACAAGAAGATTAAAAATTGATACAAACTAATATAAAGTAAGGAAGAAGAAAGAAAAAGAAGAAAGCAAAGGGGATAAAAACTGCAAGAAAAGAAAAAAGTTGAGGAAAAACAGAAAATGAAGAAAAAAAATACTCCTGATATTTTTCACTGCAGTTATAAAAGTAATAGGTTTTTGCTTTCTAAAATTATACGATCCTCCTCTTTTTTCCCCATAATCTATCCTATCTAATCATCCAAACCATAAATCAATTTCCTTTTTTATTTTTAGGCAAAAATTCCATAAGAGGCTTTCAGTCATCAATAAATATAGATAATATTATCGATGGGGCTCCCTCTGTGCAGGGTGGCTGACGGGATAGAGAAGGTTCTCATGCCCAGGGGCCCGTCATCTTGGTTTTTAATTTAATTTTTTAATTTTTTATTTCTATACTCATTGATTTTGCACTTTTTAACTTTTATTATATTGTAAGCTGCTCAGAGACGCTGCATTAGTCAGATGGGAGGCATAGAAATCCACTAAATAATAATAAATAATGTCTTTCCCCAGCTGGCTGGGGAATTCTGGGAGCTGAGGTCCACCCATCTTCAAGCTGCTAAGGTTGAGAAACATTGATATGATGAAATACATCTTCCATGGCTTTTTTTCTAACTGTTTATCCATTCATCCTAAAAGGGAAGGTTCTGGCTTCAGTAAACTATTGATCTATAAAACCATCTGCATCAAAGTATGCCTTTCAAGCCAAGTATTTTCAGTTTATTTATTTATTTATTTATTTATTTATTTATTTATGAGACTTATATACCGCTTTAAGTGCAAGCACTCTCTAAGCGGTGTACACCAGTAAGCAATGTATATATATATATATATATACATTGCCCCCAACAATCTGGGTCCTCATTTTACCTACCTCAGAAGGATGGAAGGCTGAGTCAACCTTGAGCCGGTGAGATTCGAACCGCTGACCTGCTGAACACAATCAGCTAAAGTGGCCTGCAGTACTGCACTCTAACTGCTGCGCCACCTCGGCTTTTTTTACCTGATAAAATGTTCCTTTGTGTTGTTCACATTTCCAGTGTGCATTTGAAGAGTCTTTTATTACATTGTAAGCTGCTCAGAGATGCTGTATTGGTCAGATGGGAGGCATAGAAATCCACTAAATAATAATAAATAGTGTTTTTCCCTAGCTGGCTGGAGAATTCTTGAGAAATACTAATATACTGAAATACATCTTCTATGGGTTTTTTTCTAACTATTTTCTAACTATTTTTAGTTTTTTTTTACATGACCACCAAGCATGAAAAAATGTTCCTTTATGTTGTTCACATTTCCAATATGCATTTAAAGAGTCTATATACATTCTAGATAATTTTTCTGGCCTCATGTACCAATGAGACATCATTTTATAAAAATTCTCTTTGAGATCATAACATAATGTTATTTCAACCCTATTGACCATGTATGATATTTTCCCACTAACCATCAGTATATTATAACCAAAATTCTTAGCCCACTTTATCATGCATTTAAACCTGTTCTTCTTCGGCCTCAAATTTCAACAAATGTTTGTACTTCTTTATAGTTACAGTTCATGTTCATCATCAAAAAACAATTATATTTCAAATTCTGGCTCTCTTTGCTTTATATCAGACATGTCAAACACAAGGCACGGGGGATGGATGCGGCCCGCGACGTGGTTTCATGTGGCCCCCACTGCCTTGGCCCTGGCCCAGGCCACCCGGAAGCCAATGTACAATTTTGTGGTGGCCATTTATGCTGAAACACCATTCAGTCTTAGCTCCGCAAGGCCATCTGGAAACAGCGATGAACCAGCCTCTGCCATGTTGGCCCCGTCCCCTGGGTGCGTGCTGGGGAGGTTTCAGCCTTTGTGAGGAATGGAGAAATGCACCATTGCCTGGAAGTGGCCAGCAAATGGCCCTTGCCTACTTCACATATCCGGCTTGATGGGCTCCGGGGGAGGGGTTTCAGCAGGGAGTGGGGCACTGTTCTCACAGCGACGAGAGGCTGAGCCAGGTGGTGCAAATCCCAAAAGAAGCGCGATGCTGCTCAGCCCCCAGCCTGCCCAATTTCAGCAGGCAGCAAGGTGCAAAACTGGCGAGCTTCACACTGCCCGGCTCAGCCTCTCGACGGTGTGAGGACAGTGCCCCGCTGTCTGCTGAAACCAGGCAGGCTGGGGGCTGGGTGGCGTTGCGCTTCTTTTCGGATTTGCGCTGCCTGGTTCAGCCTCTCGGCACTGTGAGGAGAGCACCTTGCTGCCTGCCAAAACCAGGCAGGTGGTGGCTGAATGGCATTGCGCAGGTAACATTGACTCTCACATTGCTCATGGCATCCCCTCCCCCAAAGCCCAACAAGCCATATATGTGAAGTAGCTGAGGGCCATGTGCTGGCCACTTCCAGGTGATGGCGTATTTCTTCATTCCTCATGAAGGGTGACACCTCCCCAGCTGTGTTTCTTACCTGTTTTTCTCCTTCCCTCATCTCAAATATTTTCCCACCACTCTGTTGGAAGGAAGGAATGAAGGAAGGAAGGAAGGAAGGAAGGAAGGAAGGAAGGAAGGAAGGAAGGAAGGAAGGAAGGAAGGAAGGAGAGGGGGAATCTGAGGGAAATCCTGCCTTACTCCTGCCCTGCTGCCCTTTCACCATCCCCTTGCCCCCTCCTCCTGGCCTATGCTGAGGGTCTCCCATCCTATTGCTAAGGAAGATTTGGATACAAAGCCAGGTCTTCCCCCATGGAGAGGAAGTGGGCCTCCCTCTGACTTTGCCCTCATACCCATCATGAGCAACCTGGCTAAGGAGAGCAAGCATAGCAGCAGCAGCCTTGAGGAGGAGGTAAGTGCAGCTGGGCACCCCCTTGGGATAGTGGGGCTGGGCTTGGTGCCACGGGTGCTTGAGGGCTGGGCTGGGTGTTTGACCTCTGCTGCCCAGGGCTCTGGGCAGCCCGTGCCACCATCCAGCCCCCCCCTTGCATGGTCTGAGAGGAACAGTGAGGCTCTTCCAGTGGACCATGCCTTGGCGCTTACCCTGGTCCCAGCCCCTTCTGCCAGAGACTCTCAGATCTGTCCCACTCCTGCCCAGGCCCCCAAAGGCACCCTTGACGCGAATGATGTAGAGCTGGCCATGCTCACCCAGTAGGCCACATCCACTCCAGCCACATCCATCCAGTAGGCTGCTCCCATCCTGGCCACACCTATCCGGTCCCCCAAGGACAACCGCAATGCTGATGCAGCCCTCAATGAAATTGAGTTTGATACTCCTGCTTTATACTATGTCCTTTTATCCATTTTAAATCTTAAATCCATTTTGACTATAAATGGGAAAATCATTGGCAATTATATCCTTCTGCTATTTATTGCACTCTTGATCTGATTTTAAATTCCCCTGGATGGTTTCCTGTCTCATGCAAAGAAGATTGCTAGATTTCACTTGAAACAGGCAGATTAACTCCATGGACAAGTCATACAAAATTATTTTTATTCCAGGCATCCTCAAAACATTAACTCACAGTTATTGTAGAAGTTCTTCTAGAATGCAGATTGTCATCTGGACCCATCGCTTAGGTAAAAGGATAATAGATTTCCCCATTCTACAGAGTTCCCAGCCTCATAGCTAGGATTCATGGAGAGATAATAAACTGGCACGTACACAGGATGTCCCATAATAAAAACACAAGTCCCTCCCAATGGCCAATTAGAACACAGATATAACCAGGTAACAACTAAAACTACATTTCCCAGAAGGCCACCCTTCAGGGGTCAGCACCTTAAAATTGCTACTTGCTCTTCACACAGTTCTTAATTCCTAAGCTAGCCATAGACTCTGACCAGATGGCTACATACTGGACCAGCACAGATGGCTTACCAATAAGTTTGATATGTCAACTATTTATCTTTGTCTGCCATTTCTCTTCCATAATATGCTTTTTGAGCTGAGAGGCCTCAAGGTAATTGTGGCCACAACCTGGGCTTATATTTATTCCATATCTTTAATATGGCATGTTGAAGGGAATCATTTCAAGGGAAGGAGAAGTCTCAAAAAAATTCTCAATGTTGGGGGGAAAAAACCTGACCAAAGACAAGATGCAACAACTGAAAAAGCCCAATTGAATTTCTTCAGAGTAACTTCCTTTACAAATTAAGAGAAGCATGGAAAATCCCCAGTGTAATACTATTGCCTGCTCATATTTCCAAAATCTGAAGAATATCTGGAACAAACAGAAGC